CTTCATGTGTGTGTGTTTCCTGTTCGCCTTCCTACCGTGTTGTTGGCGAGCGGCGCCCTCTCGTCGTCGCTCTCTGACTCTCTGAAGTCTGACGAGTTTTCCGTCTCGCTGCTTGACGTCACCTCTCCTGACTGTGTCTCCATGGTAACATGTGGCTTGTCATCCACGCAGATGATGTCCAGCTCCTCCGGGTCCCGAGCCGCCTCAGGTTCAGGACCTGGCGATGGCGCGGGCATGACCTTCGACCCTAACGAAAGCGGGGATGTGGGATCGCCCTCTGAGGGTATCTGGATGGTGGGCGAGATTTGAGGTGGCGTACATTTGAAGATCAGCCCCCCTGCTCCCGTGGCGACCACAGGTGCCGCTGCAGCTTCGACGCCCTTCTCGGCGCCATGAGGCACGGGGGCTTTGAGCGACAGGAGCTTCACTGGGGTCACGGGGGGGGTGGAGGGGTGTGTCTGCAGCAGGGTGAAGGAGCCTGGCACCGTCAGCACCTTGGGCGGGGTCTTGGGCGGGGCTTTGGCACAGGTGACGATGATGGGGTCCAGGCTGGAGTCGGCAGGGAGGATCTTAAAGGTACAGGTGCCCTTCTGAGACAGGAAGCCAGAGCTCAGGGACGGCGAGGAGGGCAGAGGCGGAGCCTGGGGTCTGACTGTGTGGGTCGCAGGGGAGCGGAGCGAGGAGGAGGAGGGACCTGCAGGGACAGAAGCACAATCAAGATTTTAGTTTAACCTCAGATACGCCCCGCCCACCCCCACGGTCTGCAGACTCACCTGTCTGTGCAGGCGAAGTGGGCGTGACCGCCCTCAGCTGGCTGACGGGCACCAGCTTGACCAGTTTCCCGTCGGGTCGGCGGTAAAACTGGACGCCGGAAACCATCTGGACCGGCTTCAGGAGCATCCTCTGAGACCCGGGGGCGGGGCCCGGAGGGCGAGGGGCCACGACAGGAAGCGTCCCAGGAGAAGGCGGGACCTTAATCAGCACTACCTGAGGGGCTTTAGGGGTCGCTGTGCCCGGAGACGGATTAACAGGTGGCGCTGGCGAGCTGCTGGACAGAGACTCTGAGCACAGACGGATTCATCAATACTTTTATTGATCGATCAGAAACAGATTATTTATCGATCAAAGGCAGACTATCAAACGCTCACCTGTGCTGGAGGTCAGGAGGGTGAGCGGCGGGACCGCTCTGGGTGGGGTCACAGGAGAGGAAGCAGTGGTGGTGACAGTGGGAGAGGCTGTAGTGGCCGCTGCGCTTGTGGTGGTCGCAGCGAGGTCAGAGGTCGCAGCGAGGTCAGAGGTCGCAGCGAGGTCAGAGACCACAGCTGAGGAGACGGCGAGAGGCGTCGGCCCCGACCTCCGAGCAGAGGTGGAGGAGGGGGGTCGCCGAGATGGCTGCTGCAGACGGGATGAGCTCACCCGTCCCGTCAGGTAGGCCGCCAGCCGGTTGGCCGGGTGGAGCGCCCCCATCCTCCCCAGCTGGATCTTAGCCAGCGGGTAGAGCTTCCCGTTCACCTGCAGGACGACACGGAGGTCAGGTGAGTGGCGAGCGGCAGGTGAGGGGTTTTAATCGTGATGCTGGTGACGCCCAGGTCACAGGTCAGCAAACACAGAAATTACGGGTGACATCGTGACGAGCGCGTGAAGACGCTCAGCTGATTCTTACCTGGATTGGCTGGTCCGTTCCTCCCGGCGCTTTCCTATTGGCTGAGAGGAAGCCGGCAGGCGAGATTCCCGTCAGGAAAGGCAGAGCCATGTTGACCTTCGCCTCTGACGTCACTTCCTGTCCACTGCTCTCTGTCCAATCGTCCACCTGTTGATCCGTGAAGCCATCCTCCTCTGTGATGTCACCTTCCTCCACCTCCCTCTGCCAGTCCTCCACAGGCTCCGCCTCCTGCATTCTGTGCTCCTTCTTCATGTGACGTTCCTTCAGAGGCTCCGCCTTCCTGCCCACCCGTGCTGCATCCACCTGAAAGAGGCGTAGTCAACCATCACATGTCAGGCGGGTTTATCACTGTGGCACACGCGTAACCATGGTTACAGGTGCTGCGGTCATTTCTGGATGACAGGAAATGGTGACCACATGAACTAAAGCTCATTTGTTTCACAGGTGAACACAGCTGTGATTGGTGGAAACAGCCCGGTAGCTAACCAATCAGCTGGCAGCACTGTTTCTGAAACTCAGACTCAACCAATCAGAAACATTTCTACCAGCTTTATGACTGATCAATGAAAATGCACCATTACAGAGGCTGCGACGGCGCCCACCTGTCTGCGCGGCGCTGTCGATTTCCTCGGCTTCAGCGCAGATCTGGATATCTTGACGTGGTACTGGACGCAGCGCTCGGCGCCGCTGCCTTCCACAGACTGGCCGGTGGGATGGATGAGGAAGTTCTTGATCCAGAATGGGTGCTCTAGCCGGTTCTGAGCCATCGCCTCGCACAGCTCCATCAGCACGAGGGTGCGGTCGGCCTCGCTCTTCCACTTAAAGTCGGCCCTGATGAAGAGACGCTTCGACGGCGTCGGCGTCGGCTCAGCAGGAGGACTCGGAGGAGGCGGAGCCTGAAGGGCTTCACCTGCAGAGGAAACCTCCATGAAAGGACAGAAAACACGGCAGCAGGGCTGATGGAGAGCAGCGGCGTGAACGCACCTGCAGGAGGCTTCTTCTTCAGCTTTTTCACCTTGTTCGGCCGATCGGCTCGCACGGCGCCTTTGGTTGCCTCCCGGTGGACAGACGGAGTCTGTTTCACCTGTCGATGAATCAGGTAATGGCACAAATCAGAGCAGAACAACAAACATCTACAGTAAGAGCCTCGCTCCCTCTGCTGGCTTACCTTCTGTTTCCGGATCTTCCTGGAGTATCCTCGGACTCTGGCGCAGCTGCGGTGATCGTCTCGGCCCTTCTGGAAACAAAGAAGCGAAAGTTTGTGCAGCGGATAAATGTGCGGAGCGGCTTTAAAGTGCTGCGGTCCACGTTTAAACAGGTCCTTACCGCAGGGCGGGTCTGTGGAGCCGCCTCAGGCATGCGCACCGGCTCTGGGTCCGAGCGCCCGGGATCCCTCCTCCACAGAGTGCGGACCCGCGCGGCAGGCTGGGAGACGCTGTCCGCCTCCTTCAGAACTGCGACATGACCACGGGGTTATTATTTTATCTATGCTTCTCTGACGCTTACACCGTGACCCGCAGACACTCACCGTAGGCCATCTTCATCCTCCTCTTCTTCTTGCTGCTCCCGTGGTGGGAGGGGCTGGAGTCGGACCCGTCCAGGTTCTTGAGGAGGACGACCTTCTGTTTGAGGCAGCTGCAGCCGAACATGCACGCCGGCCGGCCGCAGTGGCTGAGCCTGGAGTCGCGGGAGAGGCCAAGGCAGACGCAGCCCAGCCGGCAGAACTCGTTCAGACACGGCGGCGCTCGTCTGCGGCTCAGCTGGATCGGCGCCGTCGGGTTCTCGCTCACGAAACCCTGAAGAAGAACATCAGATCTGTTTATTCTAAACGTGTGTGGAAATCCGCCCACTTCCTCATGATCGTTCGTCTTTTTCTTGCTTGTGTTGCACTGACTTCCTGTCACATGACATTTGTGCTTCCTGTTGAGCGTCACAGTCGACACGTCTGCTTTAGTTCTTTGAATAAACGCAGATGACCCAGAGTTTGTTTTAGGCACGCGAGCGCCACTGCTCACTAATCTGTAATTACTTTACCTGAGCGTCTCCGTGGACGTGTGCGCTGTGGTCACGCCAGCATCGAATCCTCCAAGTTATGGTTTATTAAAGTAATCAGATTACAGCATTTATGTTAGACGACTTTTAATTAACTGCTTTAGCCCACTTACAATGAGAACGTAAAACAAATGTAGCCACTGACCTGTGCAGCATGTTAACACTACTGGAAGTTAAAATAACTTGAACTCCAATTTTGAAAACACAACTTTATTTAATAAAGCTCTGAGTGTATGATGAGTCTGTGTCTGGGAGAGAGTCTGTAACTCTGTCTGCAAATACAGTAAATAATGACCAATGTTGGGCAATTAATGATATAGTTACTTCTTCAAAAAAGTAACAAAGTTTTGCAAACAACAAAGTTTTTTGCAGCTTTTTTTTAAAAAATGCAGCCAACAAACATTTCAAACTATTTCCAGAACAATCAGCTGTTCTGCATCAAATCTGATGCCACACAAATTATTTGTGCCACTCCAAAAATAATTTCTGTCACTATGAGATGAAGGAGAACAACAGCTGATACCTGCAGGCCTGACAGCAGCAGATGTGTCACTGCTGTAACACCTGTAACACTCAGCAGTCGCCTCGTTGTTCTGACACACAACAACACTATTGACTAACTACACGCGACAACACAAGACAACACGCCAACTAAACGCCAACTACACAAGACAACACGCCAACTAAACGCCAACTACACAAGACAACACGCCAACTAAACGCCAACTACACAAGACAACACAAGACAACACAAGACTACACGCCAACTACACGCGACAACACAAGACAACACACTAACTACACGCTAACTACACAAGACAACACGCTAACTACACGCTAACTACACAAGACAACACGCTAACTACACGCTAACTACACAAGACAACACACTAACTACACGCTAACTACACAAGACAACAC